TGTGCTGGGCAATCATTCTGAATTAAAAGTTGAAAGCATTACCAGAAACCCACAGTATGGGATGTTGTCAAAGTGTTCTTCATCATTATAGTTATTTGTTGTTTTAAAATTAACACTATCTAAGAAGATATTGAAGATTATATTAAAGGAAGTTAAATTCCAGGAATATGACTGATTCTGCTGTTTCTTGGAGTGGCTTATGATGTATGCAGACGTGTACAAATGTACAAGAAGAAAATGATATTATTTATGAACTTATCTTCTACAGATATTAAAATATTAAAACAATTGATATAGAATTATATAACTAAAAATTAATTAATTTACTAAATGCAGACGCTTTTTTTATTAATTCGGGATGATTACAATATAATATATGCTTAAAAAAAATATCAATTATTTAAGTTATTTAGAGTTTTTAATTAAAATTTATTCTTGGGCCTTTTCGGAAGTTAGAGTAGACATGTTTGCTTGGTCTGAATAGTGGCTAGACTTGTTATCAATATAAAATTATTTTGAATTAATAACTGGTATCCGATCTATTAATCGATTAATTCAGATTGAATACTACAGAGGCGAAGGCAATCCTCCCAATTAAATTTGTTCCATACGCAAACACTAGAGTTCAAACGCCATAGTTGGTCTGAACAGGGGCTAGACTGGTTATCAATGTTGTCTTTTTGTCTTTTTTATATACATATTACATACAAAATGAAATATGAAAATAATGCAGAAAATGTCAACTTTACCTATCAAAGAGAGCATTCGCATTTAAACTTTAGATTTCGGTTTAAGAATGAAAGAAAAATCGAAAAACACCAAAAAAATTTAGAAGTAGTATTATTTTATAATTAGATATTATTGTACTCAAAAGGAAAGTATCAAAATAAAGCATTTTATAGTTTTATTGTTTTTATTATTATAAGGTGTGGTATTACATGTACTATTATTAAAATAAATAAATAAATAATGATGGTTAATGTTTAACTGTATTTCTTATTTTTATTCTTGCTTGTCAAATTTTATGTTTATTAATATTTATTTGTTAACATTGCAATTGCTCATGTCCATATATTTATAATAAAATAGTTTTAATTTTCTAAAAAAAATTATGATTAAGGAGATAAATTTTAAGCCAAAATGGAAGAATCTCTGAACGTATAATCAAAAATAAAAATATAAAAAAAATTCTTTCATCATACATGAATTTGCAGTAACTTGCTTAAATGAAGGTAAGGATTGATGCGCATAATGATCGTGAGCAATGTGCATGATAATTTAGAACCCACAAACCTGTCACAAAAAAAGAAAAACCAAAGGAATCGGTTAACCAACCATTTGATAGAGAACTTAAATGGCGAGGCTGAATTTCTAATCACTGCAAAAATCTGAATTATCCACAGGGTTCCCAGCATGCAGGCAAAGGTTCAGGTTTCTTGATCTCAACAAACACTGCATCTTAAGTGAGGAATGTCCTTGCAACAGAAGCTGGCCTGCTCCAAGCAACATCTTACCACCCTATGTTTCACAAAACCATAATCAGTCCCTGTTTTTTCCTTCTGAAAAAGGAGAAATATGGTTTCAAGAAATAGAGAGAAACTCACTTTTGTAGGATCAATAATACCAGCTGCCATCAGATCCTCGTATTTTCCAGTTGCAGCATTATACTCAAGCAATATAATATGATCACTACAATTCCTTCTTCAACAGCTGTGGGCTGCCTGAGTATAATTAATATTTCAAAATTATATTTAAGCATGAGAATAGCTGTAGGAAATAAGTGTTCCAAGTACAACATCTTGAGCAACTTCCATAAGAAATTTCAAGCAAAGAACCTTTGTTGCATTAAGAGCATCTTCCACCCTCAATTTCTTTTCTTTAAATTCGGTTTCTGTTTGCGCTCCAACCTAGAAACACAAATAATTAATTAAACATCATAAAAGGAAAAAGAGATAGTATACTATATACATATATATTCAAATATGTCATCAACAATGCATCATGCAAGGCCAAGGGTTACCTGAATGACAGCAACACCACCAGATAGTTTTGCAATTCTCTCACTGAGCTTTTCTTTTTCATATTCCTGATCTGTCGCCAGCATATGTAATATACTCAATACTAGAGCAAAAATAAGACAGGTGAAGATACTAACAAGATGGGGGGAAAGGATTCAAATTCAAAGCACCTCAACAAGGTTCTTGATCTGGGAAACTCTCTTATTCACTGCTTCCTGCGTGCTTCCATCACCAACAATTGTAGTGATTTCCTTAGTGAGCACCACTTTTGCAGCATGCCCTAGGACTTCCTTCTCAGCTTTGCACAATGATAACCCGACTGCATCTCTTATTACAGTGCCTAAATATATACTACAATGAGTTTTAACAACAGAACAGTGAAGATATCCGACTTATGGTTTTCATAATATGATGCACAAACCTATGGTGAGTATTGCAATATCATCAAGATATTGGCTTTTGCGCTCTCAAAAACCAGGGGCTTTCAGTGCAGCAATATTTAGAGACCCTCTGAGTTTGTTTACAAATTACAACAAGAGTAGCGAGAGCTTCCTGTTCAATGTCTTCTGCAATTATTATAATTGGGTAATCCCCTTTAATATCATCTTCCAAAACGTGGATGAGATCTCTTGCCTTTGTTATCTTTTTGTCAACCACGAGTAACTGCAGAAAACAACTTCAAGAAGTCAGAGACCTCGCAAAATAGAATCCCTCAGGATCCATCTGCAGAGAAGTACATCTTGCTTTGGAGTTGATCCATAGCACTTACCAAGTACCTTGTAATTTTCATATTCAACAGCCATTTTCTCACTGTCAGTAACAAAGTAAGGAGAGACTTAACCACGGTCAAATTGCATCCCCTCAACAACATACAAGCTGTTTTCTGAACTGCTACCTTCCTCAAGTGTCACTATGCCTTTTCTTCCTACTTTTCCCACAGCTTCAGCAATCATATTGCCTACCTTATATTTGTTTCCAGCACTAACAGCAGCGACATCTGCTAGTTCGCTGTCTTCAACCTGCAGACCAAAACCAACGGTAAAATTGTCTCCCAGATACACATTAAGAAAATTTCTAAAGTTATAACTCCATTTAGCATGTAAAGGTTCAAAGCTTGTAAATCATGGTAGAAAGAAAATCTCGTTTTACCTCTTTTGACATCAACTTAAGTCCAGACACCAGGGCCTTAGAAGTTTTTTCAATTCCTCTTGATATTTGAATAGGATTTGCATCGGCAGCAACCACCTGTAGAGAATAACCAAACACCAAAAAGCAAAGGAGCAATAGACAGGATATGTAATTCCCAATGAGATGATTGTTAGAAAGATCTCACAAACCTTAACACCTTCGGTTATCAAACCTTGTGCAAGAACAACGGATGTGGTTGTTCCATCACCAAGCCAAATCATTGGTCTTTCAAGCAGCCTGCCTCACCAGTCTAGCACCAATGTTCTCCACATGATCTCCAACTCAGTCTATGAAAACAAAATGAAAAATCACAAAAAATAAAAAAATGGGGAAAAAATCCAGTCAAACCCAGCAGAAGAGAACCCATGGTATATCAGTAATCAGTAGCAGAAGTCGGAACATTGAAATATGTAACAAAAATAAGAAAGACTGACAATTGATTACTATTTTTTGTTTGTTGCTTCGATGTATTAAACATGCCTCCTTAGCAACGGTTACACCATCACTGACAATTTTTTGTGAGCCATACTAGCTCTCTAAAACTACATTTCTTCCTTTCAGACCGAGAGTAAAACCAACTAGGTCTGCAAGTGTGTTAACACCTATCTGAAATGGAAAAGAAGTAAGCATGCATCAAAAAAGGATATCACACTAAACAAATCATTCGCTGAAACTTACTTGTAGCTTCTTGATAGCAGAACCATCTGTGTTAAAATGCAACTCCTTGGCTATAGCCTGAATTTTGGAAGATTTTCCTCTCCGTAAAATCACCTTCTGTATCTTGCCCAAAAAGACACTTGATGATATAGAATCAAACGATGACAGTCGTCATGAAGAATTCAAAAACATTTTATCCATTTTCTTACTGCCAAGAAATTCTAGAGAGGCAATTGATGACATGGCAATGAAAGATGATGCCATTTTCTTTCAAGAACCTAAACATTATATAAAACACAAGACACATAAATCCAATTAATGGCCACTAAAGTTGATAATTTAGTAACCATATCTAAACCTATTTACTAAACGAGTAACAAATATCATGTGCAACAAAAAAATTACTCGCATTTACCACTGAAACAACCTTATATTCATATACATATGTGTGTGTGTGTGTGTATATACATATCAGCTATCCAGAAAATTGAGAGGAAAAAATATTAATAATAGGGGGGGAAAACTTCATCACTGATAAAAATAAGAACCAGTTAACTTCATATATACTACAAAAACCCAGTTTTCTCAATCTCAGCATTGACGAAACATAAAGAGAAGCAAATAAGGAACACTTACTAATGCAGGACAAATGGGAAACTTTACCTGGAAAACGGAAGTTGATAGTCTGATATGATGGTGTTCTAAAAGGGTTTTTTGAGGACGAGGAAGAAATTCCAGAGATGGCAAAAAAATGTCATCTTGGGAAACTCCGCAAGTATTTATAGGCAAGGGGGGGTTTAGATATATGAGCGATAGTGTACGATTACAGGGTAGTCCTGATTTCTTGTAATGAATCGGAACCATTGACCAAGATGACTTAAATTAAGATGGATTTTTTAGGCAACTAAACTTTAAATAAATTTCCATAATATTCCTACAAAAATAGGATTACTTTATTTTTAATGTTTCCGGCATTTGGCTATGAAATTGAACCCTCGAGAAATCAATATGAACAACATGACTTTGCTAAATAATAATCCAAATACGGAGATAACAAGCATTACAGTCTTTCACTGAATAAAGAAAAAATAAATGAAAACTACAAGAACAAATAAAGAAATATGTATCTGGTGCGCATCATTCCAGAGCTACAACAGTGACAATAAGAGCTAGAAAGACTGAAGCAAGTGTAGCTGCAGTAACTACTATTCCTGAACTAGGATGTGGCCCTGGTGCAAGCCCAACCTCATGCGGATTCGCAACGGCAGGTGTAGGTTCGGGTCTTTGGTGTAAACCCATCACCTGGATCATCAATCTCTCGCCATTCTTGCAGTGGTCAAGGATTCCACTGATGAAGTAGAAGAATCCGGCCCTATCGAGATTGATGACAGTGTTTCCATCGTTAAACGAATAGATGGGATTGTTCGAGTTACAGTGATAATAATCCCATTTATCCACCAAAAGGACCGAGTCATTCCGATACTCGAAAGAGACGGAGTCTCCAACATGAAACCTTTTACTGGTCGCCCACTGGCCATACACATCAGTGTTGTTATCACTAGGCTGCTGCCAACCAATATGATCACCAACTGTGAATTGTTTGGAAGCTTCAACTGAGCCATTCATGGAAACTGTAAGAATGAAAAAACAAGCGCAGAAGATCAAACCACTGGAATATTCCATGTTTAATCAGTATTTGAGTAATTTCTTTAATTTATTGTATACAGATTTAGATTTCAGAGTAGCGAGAGAATATATAGTGGTGAAATTAGGAGGATGCTTTGAAGGAAGAACTAAAAATAAAATGGTTTATCAACTTTCAAACAGCGTCTGAACGTGAGAGATAGGTGAGCGTGGGAGGGGCAGTTATGCAGCAACGTGCATTGTTTGCGGTTTTTCTTCTTCTTCGAAGATCCACGCTTCCGCTTTGGTTTTTCTAATTTTAATTTCATATTTTTCATGTAATTAAAAAGATAACAATTTTAAATTAAGAGATAAATATAAGAAATTTTAACAGAACCCATTATGTAATCCAAGATGATACAAACCGTTTTATAAATTACTCTACTTTTACCGGAACTTATTTTACAAAATTTATAAATATAAGTTATTATAATTTAATTTCTTAAATTTATATTTTATTAAATTTAGTTATTTGATTGTAATATTTTATAAAAAATTTTCCTCTCTAAATTCCTTAGTCCTATATATTCTTATTAATATTTCCCTAAAAAAATATACTCTTGTCAACGTGGTGAGACAGTTAATCGCGTCGCAGCTTGATTTATCTACAGTGGGATTTCATTTGCTTGCTGCACGTCAGTTATTACAAGATCATCTGATGACTGATGCAATCCCTCCTCTAACCCATTACCCAAATAACCCAAGAAGGGTACCTAAAACCATACATACTAAAACGAAGAGCAAAGATTTCAAACTAGAACTAAGCAAGAGCAACAGCAGCGCCACTGATCAGACGACCGCTTCGCCCTATCAAAGCTGACCTTAACAAATTAGGGTTGCCCATCTACAAGTTTTGTTTCTAGTTAGCTTGAATTGAACCCGACCCACTAAAATTCATTTTCCCATATAATCCTTGTCTTAAAATATTATTGCATTGTGATTGCTGCTCCTGTTGGAGTGGTTCATGCGTGAAATAGATGTGGATCTTTGAAGGCTCTGTTGAATTTGGAAATTCGACAAAGTTGCAACGTTCTGTTGCACTTGTTGATGTTGTTATTGTTAGGTAAGAGGCGTGGGAGGTGAAGATAAAATTTACGAGATTTACTGTTGTTATTGTTGGGTATGAGGCGTGGGAGGTGAAGGCAAAATTTGTGAGATTTACTACTGTTATTGTTGGGTAAGAGGCGTGGGAGGTGGAGACAAAATTTGTGAGATTTACTGCTGATTATGCAGTGAAGGGTCAATGGAAGGAGAAGGGTGGTTGTTATTTTGGGGAAGAATCAAGGAATTTCGTTAAGGTGTTGACGTCGACGTCGCGGTAGTATTTGCATCATCGTCAATGAAGGTGGCTGAACCACAGATGCCGACGAAAGGTCCATCATCATAAGATTCAGACGAAACTCATGGGTTTCATTTCTTGCTTACCAATTCACGTAGAGAACCAATGGTGGAGTGAGCGTGAAGGCGACAGATGGATGAGAGATTAGAAGGGGAAAGAGAAGACGGTGGAGAGAGATTATGAGGATGAAGACAGGATGGTGTATAGATTTTGAGCGGGGATGATTTGGAAGATGAATGAGGTGAATAATAATAATAATAAAATATTAATAAAACATTAATAGATTAAAAATATTAATAAAATATATCATGTCATCACATAATTAAAAAAGTTCGATAGAATGATAAAAATATTAATATGTAAAGTTGAATAATTAAATAAAAAAAATAAAAGTATCATACGAAATAAGAGAAATAATAAAGTTAAGTTTCTAAATTTTTTTAATTTATCAATTAATTATTTGTAAAAGGAGACATCTATAGTCATATTGTGACGGAAGTAAAAGGGATGATTTTTTACAATAATACGAAAAAAATTGTTTGAATAAGATACTTTCGGAATTATTTTTTTAAATAGGATGATTGTTACAATATATCCCCAAAGACATATTACTGTTCATGTAACTCTAATATACCCCATATTTTTTTTTCATATTCTAATTTTTATTTAAGTTTTAATTATTATATAAAAAATAGAGAAGGCTAAAATTAGGATGAGGGTGAGGGATAGGGTGGGGGAGAGATGTATTGTGATCCGGGGGAAGGGAGTGTCGCATGGTGTTCCATGCGACCGGGGAGACGCGAGAAATTCAGTACGACTTCGATGTATATTTTAACATTCACCCCATTTAATAACTTCTTGAGTGCTCTATTCGAATAATTTTTTTTTCGACTACGTTAAAAATACCCAAGTAAAAGACCTGCCTGACATTTGCTTATATAACAAATCAAAATAAGCATTAAAAAAGTTTTCATTTTAAAACGGAATTTTTTTTGAACTTTCTCATTTTAAAGTTTTTGTGTAGCAGTTATTTTGCATTTTGAAAATTACCACCAGCTTTTGGCGTTGAAGGCAGCAGTGGTAGCGGCTTTGCCCGGCCACTACCTTGTTCCTTTTTATTTTTCAGGCAATTGTTTCGTTTTTGTTACTGTTTAGTTATTTTTAATATATTTATAATAACATTTTCTCTCAATCTTTTCACTGACGGAGGATATCATTTGTTGGTGATACCTTTAAGTTTTCTGTGCAAGTTTCTTTCATTGGTTTCTATTTGATTCTTTATCTCAAATTTCTTACGATGTTATACTTTGGTCATGTTTTCTTTTGTATAGGTCATAGTTTCTTTTCGATATATTGTTCTTTGTATTTTTCTTAATTTTTTGTGTGGTGATAAGATGAGAATACAATTAAAAAAAAGATTGATTTTTCATTCATCTACCTTAAATCTTTTTCAGATCTTTTTTCTTTTATATTTGTTGTTCGAAAATATTAGAATAATCTATTTTTACATGTCATTGTCTCGGCAAAATCAACGAGATAATGTTATTGGAAAAAAATTCACGAGATAATACGTTCCAACAATTAATTGCTCAGATAGAGTGAAATCTACAGTTCGAACGTATGTCTCCAAGAGCTCAGGGCGACCAAGGAGGTCGCCATGCCGTCCCTGCGAGCTGTGGTGAGCTGCTGCACTTTGCATACTTGAAGGTCGCCATGCACGCCCTGCTGAAATGGAGGTCGTCATGTTTCAGATAAAAGCCTAATTACCGAAATGGGTAATCATTGTTACTTAGGGAAATTTAGGTAATCGTCATGCACGCCCTGCTGAAAATGGAAGTCGTCATGTATGTCGGGAGACCTTATAGGTCGTCATGTGATCCCGGCGACCAAACCTGCTCCCCGTTGCAAGCCGCTGCTCTCATGCAGCTTTAATAGCTGCATTATTGCAACATCATTTTCGCTGCTTCATGTAGCAATTACTGCTGCATTATTGCAGATGTTGGAGGCCCATGATTTCAACAATTATTGCCCAATTAATTGAAGCATCCGTGGCTTAATTTTTATATATAGGATATGATATGGGGTTAACGAAGCATAAAAGAAAAAAGGGAGAAGAGTGCGGAAAGAAAGGAAAGGAAGAAGAAGAAGAAAGGGAGGCAATCATCGTGAGGTAATTTTTTATTTTATTTATATTAGTTTATTATTTTAAATTGTTAGTTTGTTAATTTAGGGTTTAAGGTAATCACCTAATTACCGATATAGATAATCATTAGTTTGTTAATATTTAATTAGTTTGTAGTTAGTTAAATAGTTAAGTTATATTTGTTTGTTGAATTTATATTACATAAAAAAATTTAGTTAATTAGTTTATTAGTAGTTTAAGTTATTTATAATTAAAAAAAATAGTTTATTAGTTTAAATTATATAAAAGAATAGTTTATTAGTTGATTAAGGGAGCGTTTAAGTTATATTTTAAAAAGTTTAGTTTATTAGTTTATTTTATTATATTATAAGTTATTATATAAAACTTTTTTGTTAGTTAGTTTATATTAGATTATATTAAATGATTTTATAAATATTGTTGTTTAATTTTTTTTTACAAATTCATTCGAATGGCTGACCAAATTCCACTGCTGAGACTTGACAATGAACATATTTCAACTCATTTGGGAATAATGATGTTATTCTTATTTAGTAAAATAAAATATTTTTTTAATGAATTATTATTATTAAATATTTGAATATTAATTTATGATTGTGATAAAATTTTGAATTATTTAATTGCAGGAAGACGAGCAGCGAGTCCTTCGTCATCGGCTAAATAATCTGCCCAAGCCACACCAATTGATAGAAGTAAACTTGCAACATGCTTGATTTTGGTGTGTAACATTTGTGCGAGAATAATCAGAGGAAGATTTCGACTAGTCCACACATGTGAAGATCTAATAATTTAAGAACAAAAATTACATAAATTCAACTTCAATTAGAAGATCTAATAATTTAAGAACATAAATTACATAAATTTCCTTGCAAAAATAGGTTCATTATCACAAAAATAGATGTAGACATTTAATATCCTATGTAGGTGAAAGCATTCATCAACATAAGTGTATGTGCTAACACCAGCATACATACATGCAACAACTGCATGAGCACATTGATATTTTCATGCCTGAAAACGACCACAATCATACCATTTGTGTCGTAAATCAACTTTAAATGTTTGGTATTCTCCTCCTACATTATGGCGTATTCACGATACAACAAAAATATGAAAAACTCAGTCGAAATTATGAACTACCATTTATGTTGCCAATCGCTCATTTGCTTCCATTGCTTCCACCACTGTAGGAGCCCAAGTTTGACCTCTATTTATAAGACTCTTAATTTCCTTGCCTTTATCGGACCAAACCTTAGCCAACCTAAAGTACGTCTCTTTCACCACACTCGCTATTGGGAGATGACGTGTATCTTTTAGTACTGAACTAATGGCCTCCGCAAGGTTTGTGTTATATGTCCGTATCACCAACCTTCATCGTATGCTTGTGACCATTTTTCCCGCGGTATTTTTGAAGCTCACTTCCAAACACGCTGATCATCGTAAAATACCTTCAAATTCTCCAATCTCTTATCAAAATTTGATCGGCGTAGTTCGTATCCTGTTT